ATATTTATTTATTTATTTATGTGCAGATGAGTACGTGCGTGTGTGCTTGTCGCTATGACAGGAAATGTGCAGGACCATATCTACCGGGCTTCAGCCCTAACATACGCAATCCAGGTGAAGCATGAAGAAAGAAACAAGCAAACCAAAAAAGAAACTGCGCTGAGAGCCCTCCATACGGCCAACAAGTCCACACAGAGGCGGGAATGTGTGCGTGCGCGCAAACGGGCTTGCATGTGTGTTAAGAGAAGGGAAACAGAATGAGATGCGGCGACAGCAGCTTACCGTTCCGAAAACAAACAAACAGAGCAGCACACAGTCCGCTCCTCAAATCTGTGACTCCACTTTAGAAAGCAGCTGGTGGTACATCACCGTTGCGGATACAAAGCCCTGCGGTAGCATCTCCTCATCCAGTGGCTGCCAGAGCACGCGATTGGCGATCATTTCATACACCGCTATGAACTCCAGCGCCTTGCGCCTCGTCTTGTCATCTTTAAGGTCGCTTTCCCCAGCAAGCACTGCCTCCATCGCGCACTGAAGAATATCGTTCATTATCCGTGAGCTGATAACTCGCCGACCAGACTGATGAGGTTGCTGCTGCCGATTTTGCCGCTCTTCTCCCGCATACAGATACTTCCCTGCTTCCAGTGGAAGCCGCTCCGCCAGCAGCATCTGCGCTGCCAAGTCGTCAGCCCGGAGTCGCGCCAACATGTCCAGCCCCATCTGTCGGGATGCACCGCCCATCTGCAGCAGCACCATCGCCGTTGGCACCTGATCGGTAATAATGCCGCGGAGCAGCAGCTGTTGCTGCTGCTGCTGCAACTGCCCTTGACCTGGAGGCAAACTCTGGAGGAGACGTAGCAACAAGCTCTGTAAGCCATCTATAAGAGTCGAGCCTGTCTGTGTAACGCAACGCGCGTACTCTAGAAGGGCATAGAAGAGGTACCGCGTGAAGTAGACCTGTCCAGTGGATGCACCACCCGTCCCAGCAACATCAGTTGGGAACGGAGTTGCTGAGGCCTCATTTTCATTGTGGCCCACCGCAGCGTGCGGCACAAGCACCACGTCTGCAAGTGGAAAAAAGACATCTCGAAGCATCTCCTGCTGACCGATGCTAGCATCCGTCACAGAAACAGAAGCAAAATCACCGCTGCCGGCAGTATTCACAGCGGGACGGGCCGTACACGCAGCGAGGACATCCTGCCACGTCAAGCCGCTCCACTTGCGCCACGGTGGCTTACNAGTATTCACAGCGGGACGGGCCGTACACGCAGCGAGGACATCCTGCCACGTCAAGCCGCTCCACTTGCGCCACGGTGGCTTACACGGCAGCGGCCCCTCCGCGTCCTCCAGCGGCAGCCACCGTCGCAGTACTGCCGTTGAACCCAACAGCACCCTAGCCCTCGGTGTTCCCCCACCTGCTGTGGCTGCTCCAGTGGTGCCAAAGCATAGCGGCTCGCGCATCCAGCTCGGAATGTCTGGCCTCTCCTCGCTGTTCAGAAGTGACAACAGCAACAGATGTGTTGCGTTGTGAGAGGCAATCAAATCAAATGCGTGGGCCACATCGCCTAAGCACTCCTGGTTGGCAAGCATGGTGTGTAGCATCGACTGCACGGCCCTACCCGCACAGTGCGTGCGGTGCAAGTAGAAACTCAAACGCTCCAGGCTATGTGGCATTGTTGCTGCCACCGCGAAGGGGTTGACACCCACAAGCCGCACTTTCCCGCTTCGGCGGTCTAAGAGCAGCGGCAGCGTACCAAAGACAAAGGCATGTGAATAAAGCTCATCGTTGTCCATCGCCACAGCGGCACCGGCCTGCTGTGGTGGATGTAATGCTAGAACGGCACTAAGTAGTGGCTGCAAAACTGGGACGTTGGTGTCGTCGCCTCCCCGCGCCTTAGAGCTGCCGCCGCTGCTGTTACGCAGACCATTCGCCAGCCGCGCAATCCACGATTCTGTCGGAAGCCCCTCTCGCTCCGTGCTGGCGCGAAAGCTCACGTTCGAGCAACACGAAGCAACGCTCTCCATGCTATACCGCATTCCCTTCCCAGTAGTCTCTACCGCTGTTGTTGTTGGGATTGTTGTTGCTGCGGCTGCGGCTGCGGCTGCGGCAGCTGTTCCCAACTGGCCACGCGTGCGTTTTTGTTCGTGTTGTTGTACCGGATGATGTTTCTTCCCTTCGCAGCCAAGGACGTCAAACACGCTGGAAACGCAGCGCCGAAGCTCATGCAAAACGATAAGATTGTCGACCACCTGCAGGGCGATGGGTTCACGTCGCACATCCATTGGAATGCCAGCGCGCAGCACCGCGTGTTTCACGAAGATTCCGTCAGCGCTGCCACTCTCAGCACACACGTAGCGGAATAGCAGCGCGCTCCAGTCACGGCGCGAAAAGCAGCACAAGAAGAGCTGACGGTGCAGCACGAGAAACCCGATGGGGTAGTGCACGAGAGGTGTGTCCATGCACGCAGTGGAGTAAAAAGGCGTCTGGGCTGCCTCATTTCCCTGCAGCCCAGCCGCAGCCCAATCATCCTCCAGCCGCACAGAAGGCAGTGTGCGCAGGCCTTCGTTGTGGATCATGAACATCTTCACAACGCATGGCTTTAGCCTGTTGATCGATAGGAACATCCGAGAAGCCGGACTGTAATGCCAGTAGTCCGTGTGTGTTGTGTAGCGGCGCAGCAATACGCATTGATCGTACCCACCACCGCTGGGTTCCCCTGCAATGTGCGGCAGCATAAGCGCATCCTCGACGCCCACCACATCAATGCTGATTGCGGTCACGCAGAGGAGAATCCGACGCGTCGATGCGGTAGCCGATGTGCGCAGTGCAGAGGCGTCGTCGTGCAAGATCCCTTGTTGCTGTTGTTGTTCTTGCTGCGGCTGCTGCTGCTGCTTTTGCAAGGTGTGTGGGGCTGTGTGGGCGTTGGAGTGCCACGTGGTCTGGCCGTTGGCCGCCTGTTGGCACGCGGTGCTGTGCAGCTCCTCCGTCCAGTAGAATGCGCGGATGGGGTAGAAGTTGTCGCGGAAGCGCAGGCTCCTCGGCGCGCACTGAAACACCGCAATCGCCGGCATCGGTTGCGCTCCCATTCGGGGATGGCACAAGAAGAGAAAGACACCTCGTGTGTCAAAGCTGAGTGCCACAAGGTACGCGCAGCCACCACCACTACTCCTATCACCCCTGTTACCGCTGCTTCTGCTGCTGTGCAACGGGGTGGGACACCGCTTTGCGTGGCGGATGGCCAGCGGCTCCCCCTCGACCTGTCTGTACTTCACCGTCAATGCAATAGCATCGGCAGGCAGCGATGGGTGGTGCTGCAGCAAATCCCGCTCTCCTTCCTCATCCGAAACCGCACTGATGCTCGCGTCACACTGAGAAGCCGCTGCCTCCCTTTTTTGCTCTTTTTCTACTTCTTCTTCTTCACGTGACGGGTCAAGGAGCTGGACGTGGTAGAAGCAGACCTCCCGTGACGCCGCACCGAAGATGACGACATCGTTCGCTACCTCATCGAAAAAGACGCGCACGACCTTCAACGGCGTCTGCACGGGGGGCGCGGCAGTGCCACTGCCACCACCTCCGCTGCTGCTGCTGCTGCTGCTGCTAACTTCTGTTGGGGTGAATTGAAATATAGGCTTCTGGAATACTACGAACGGTGGGACGATGGAGACATCCGCCATTTTTGCATTCGTCTTCCGCCCTATACTATGTGGGAAACACACACACACACACACACACGCACGTGGACATTATATATGTATAGTGAGGGCAAGATGAAGGAAGAGGCGTTGAAAGGGGGGAAAGAAAGAAGCAACCACAGTGAAAGAGCATCTTGGCTATTCAGCATCCCCAGTGGAAGCAAAGTGGCATCATAGGTAGACTTTGGTATCCTGATTCAAGCGCACGGTATCCTTCACTACTGCGCATAGCGGTTGGACGACTAGTAGCCGAGCTCACGGCGCAGGAACGACTTGGGACTTGTCAGCCACGCCATGTCGTAGCTCTGCGAGCTCATGATGGAGTACAGGAACAGCATTGAGCACGTCGCCGGCGCCGTCATAGTGTGGAATAGGATGTCAAACAGCACCGATACCACGAACACCGTTGTGAGTAGTGGGAAGGCGGCGTAGAAGCGGCCGACCATGTAGAAGCCGCAGCACCACAAGAACACCTGGAACGCGCCAGGGGTGCGCCACTTCACCCAGCTCCAATACCGCGGCATCTCATCCACGTTGCGCGCCATCCACTCGGGGAGAACCTTGTAGTAGAAGTACTGCGTGTCGCTGACGAGGTTGCGGTAGCGGCGATCCAGCGTTGGGCTCTTCGTGATGATCTCGTACGCCTTGTTGATTTGGTTGAGCCGCGGAATGTCGCCGACACCGTTGGGCTCCAAATCGGGGTGCACCTGCCGCATGAGCTCATGGTAGCGCAGCCGCACCGTCTGGTTCGACGCGCCTGGCTTGACGCCGAGCACCTCCCACGGGTTGTACCCTATCGCCTCAGTTGCGGCGCCGTCGTCGCCACCGCCACCTGCTGCAGATGCACGCTTCGACTTTCCCCCCATGACGTCCTCCTCACGGGGCTTCTGAGCGTGTCGCGAGTGCTCAATGTCTGCGGGGACGCTGCCGTACGGGGCGGCGCCGCCGAAGCAGCGATACGGCGTGCGCAGCAGCAGCAACGGCCGTGCTGTGATGGGGCGCAGCAGTGCCACACGCCGCATTTCTAAAGAAGCACAGACACACACACACACACACAGGCAATCACCACGGTGTCTCTCGATCCCTCTTCCTTTCTTCGACTCCTCTGTCCCTACATGAGAGCAAAGCGCAATAGAGAATGTACAAGAAAGGCATGGGGGCAATCGTGCCTGGCACTCCACCCGGCATACACACACACACACACACACAGAGAGAGAGAGAGAGAGAAAGACAAATATGTACACAGACGTACGCGTTGACAGAAACCCGAGTGTGTGTACCATCGCGTCCAGTCTGTCGTTAATTAGCAACCAGGTGCTCTTCTTCTCTCACAGGCCTCCGCTTCAAACACTCAATCACCCGCTTTGACCAGACCACCGAGGTGCACATGACACCCATCGCAACCCACCATAAACAGCAGCAGCAGCAGCAGCAGCAGACACGCCTCATGCTCTCACATGGCAAAGGCCCAGAAGAGGAAGTGCAGCACACAGTACATTCCCACAGTCACTTCCGGCACAAGGGAGAATAGTGCCGCCCACAACAGTGTCCATGTCACTGCCCAGAGCCGTGCCGCCATGTGATACAGAAACACCAGTGCCACGAAGAGTGACACGCTTATGCCAATGCGCGCGGTCCTCAGGTCACGTGTGCCGCCAGCAGCGAGCGCCCCCCGCACCGCTGGCAGGCGAGGGAACACGAAGAAACCTACCATTGCAGTGCCGGCGTGGTGCAGAAGTGCCGCTGGGTTGAGAATCGAGCCCCACGAACCGCGGCGCAGCTGCACGTAGTACGACGCAGCCTGTGGCTCCTCCATTACAAGGAGACTGTGCGTGAGGCTCACAATAGAGCACTGTGACTCCTGCACTGCAGCGGTGGGTGGCACGCACACCTGCAGAAAGACTGAGGCGTTCACCGCCAGTGCGCCGCCGCTCCCGAGGTCATCGCGAAGATAGTCATGCACCGTGTGCAGGTGCCTGCGTCCGTAGCGCATAAAATCGGCGGCCATCATCGCGTATGCCCGTTCCGCCGCTGATGTGTTGACTTTAAACACAAGCTCTGAAAGGGTTGGGTTTCCCGTCCTCCTGGGGTTCTCCTTCATCAACATGCTGAGTGGCAGTGGGGTACTTGTGAGAAGCACAGTCGGTCGCCTCAGCAACGGTACCTCCCCGCCGAGCATGTCGCGCAAGCTATACACCACTAGCTCCAGCTGCAGAAATGGTTGGCCGCCGCGCAACGTAACTGGTGGCCGCCAGTGCTGCCACACGCTCTGTAGACTCTCCCACGCGGCGGTGGGGCACATCGTGGTGAATCGCCACTCGCGCGGTACGCGTAGGGCAGTGTAAAACGGCACGCGCAATGGGGCGGCGAGCAAGCTGTTGTCCAGCGGCGGCAGCATGGCAGGCGGGAAGGACCACAACCCTGTCAAGTCACCTGCCACGAAGTATGTCGTGTCGGCCAGCAGGCACCCGCGGCACTCCGTCGCGATACCGGGCACAGCAAAGAGTATTTCCTCAATGCTGCTGAAAGGCCGTATCGGAGGAAGGTAGTCGCCCTCAAACATGACGGCGGTGTTGTCGTCGCTGCTATCAAGGTCGTTCTGGCTGCGCGGCTCTGCCGGAATGCGGACTCCCACGAATGTGTCATTGTAGCGATGGATGAAGCGATGCCGATGGATGCTCTCCGGGTCCGCAAGCACCTTTGAGAAGAGGTAGCTCACAAAGTGGGAGCGGTACAGTCCGCCGTGTTTGAGGAAGAGGTGGTGAGCGCTGTCAAGGCTGTAGTGCTCCACAATGCTGAAGCTGTTCACAAGTGCCACATTGTGTGGCGACCGGCGTCGCGCACGACCGCCACCCACGCCCCATCCATCCTCTGGCGAAGGCGGGGCACTGCTGCTGGTGAGGCCACGTTCGTGGTGGTCAACCGAGTGCAATGGTGCTGTATTGGCAGCAACAGCCCTGGGAGCATGATGATAATAGCCATCATCGTCATTCTCTTCGCCCACGCGATCATGCCACTGGTCGCCGATGAGTTCCACGCCGAGCTCCATGCCCCTGCGTCGCACGTCGGCCTCACACATCAGCAGCGGACGTCCGGTACTGGCGGTCGGCCACGACGACAGCGCCGCAGCGGCCTCACCGCGTGGTGGCAGTGGCCGCAGGTGTAGCCGCGCTAACGTTGGCCGCACCTCTACCACAAACGATACTGATGTCCTCCCGCGTGTGTGGCTGTCCTCTGCGAGCGCCCCGCGGAGGGTAACACGGAGCAGCCGCGGCAGCTGCAGCTTTCGCTGCAACACCTCGCTGTCCTGGTGCTCGTTGTACTCGGCCGGGCTCAGCATCTGGAAGGCAGGGCAAGGAGACAGCTGCAGATACAGGTGTTTGCGCGTCGCCGGGGACATCGCCACACGCATGCCGGCGTGCAGCTGCTGCAAGCACGGCGTGAGGCCCACGCCCGGTGTCGAGTCTGTGCGGTTGGGGTTCGGAAGCTCCTCCAGCACCACGCGGTCAACAGGGAAGTGGTCGAGCTGGGCGAAGGTCGTGCCACTCACATTGACGTGAATGACCGGCACACCGCCCTCGATCTCACACTGCTTGATTGCCGTAGGCGTGGCGCCCACCGATGGTGGCGCGTCCACCACCTCTACGCGGCCGAACAGCACCAGCGACGCCTCACCATCACTGTTCTCAGAAACGTTTGTACCGCACATCACATCCTTGTGCAGTGCTGTGCGGAGGAAGAGGTTATGCGGTACCGCGAACGGCCGGTGGCGCGGCAGTCTTATGCGGATGGCGGCAACATCTTCATCAATGACGCCCTTGTACAGGCGCATCGTGGCCTCGAACTGCGCCATCCGCGTCATCTCTGATGGCATGTTACTAATCACTGGCTGTTGTTGCTTCACTTGCTGTTTCTGTTGTTCGATTTGTTCGCGACGTGCACGCTCAATCTCATAGAGCTGGCTCTTTGTTATGCGGCGGCGCGCGAGGGCGGTCTGCAGGTCGGCGCGCAGCCCCGTCACGTCGATGCCGTCGTGCGTCCAGCGGAACTCGCGCTGCAGGCCCTCCAACTGCTGCTGGATAACATCCAACGGCACCAGCCGCTGCTCCTTAGGAGGCGTGCGATGAGCGCGGCGGCTCTGAAGCGTGGCCTCAGTATCGTCGAGCCGCGGCAGCATATAGGCTAGCGAGGCGAAGAGCGGTTCACACGTCACATACGCGTCTCGCACGCTTTCAACGTACTCCAGCCACTCACTCGCGGTGCGCCCCTCAACGCCGTCGGGGCGGTTGACTTCGGTCCAGAACTGCAGTACGTCCGATCCCCGCAGGGTGCCTCGAACACAGTTGGCCAACAGGCTTTCCCTCTGCTGCTCCTCTTTATGCTGTCGCTGTTGCATTGTTGTGTGAGCGTAGCCCGCCATCTGCTTCGGTTGTCCCGAGTCGAGGCGCAGCACAACGGCTACCGCTGCCTCCTCGCTGTCGTCGCTGATGCCCAACTCGGAGGCGACGACGTCAGGCACGCCGAGGAGACTCAGCAACGGCCGCATCACCCGCTCATCACGTGCGAGGCTGCGCGGGTCCAGGAAGGGCAGGAAGCGCACAATGCCACGACCAGCGCCACGGAAGAGCGGCGCCCGCGGCTGTGGCCCTGCACTCCACGTCGCCGCGCCTTCGATGACTTCGCTTGTCACGAAGTCGCCGCCGTGTGGGCACGCGCGTGGGGAACCAACACGCTCCTGCGCGAGGAAGAGGTGGTGCGACACCTCCTTGGGCAGCAGGTGCTGCGTCGCGGTTACGGAGAAGGACACGCAGCGCTGCGCCGTGTCCGCACGCACGTCAAGCCAGCGCGCC